TTTAGATAGGGATTCTGTGTTAAACGTTTCAACTTTGAAGTGGAATATCTCGATTTTTAATCCCGCAACGAGTACTGAGCTTCAAAGTATATATGTTCAGAACACTAAAACAAGCTTATTCTGTAAGTTTCAGAAAAATCTAAAGAAAATGGATTTTTCGGAGAACGTCCTTAAGGTATCAACATTAAACGAATAGAAAAACATAAGCACAGGATACTGGCAAAATTGGAATTTTCCGAACACAATAGGAACAATAGATGGTAAACACATCCAGATACAAGCACCACCAAAGTCTGAAAGTCTATATTTTAATTATAAGAAAACTTTTAGTATAGTGCTTATGGCCATGTGTGACCATGAGTATAAGTTTACTTTAGTTGATGTGGGTGCTTTTGGCAGTGATTGTGATGCTGGAGTATTATCTAAATCGGTATTTGGAAAAGCACTGTATGATGGAACACTCAACATATCTCATGAAACTAGAAAATTACCTCAATCGAATATAGACTTGCTTTATTTTGTCGTTGGTGACGAAGCTTTTCAATTGCATAAAAATGTAATGCGTCCATATCCTGGTAGATTTTTAAGTAATGATAAAAATATATTTAATTATCGTTTGTCACGTGCAAGACGCGTCATTGAAAATGCTTTCGGCATTTTGGTATCAAGATGGCGAATACTTCGTCGTCCAATATGTGCTTATCTGTCAACAGTAGATCGAATAGTCATGGCATGTATAATTTTGCATAATTTTTTAATGACGGAAAATGCAAAACAGCCTGCTTGTGAACAAACTTATTTGTCAACAGTAGATCGAATAGTCACGGCATGTATAATTTTGCATAATTTTTTAATGACGGAAAATGCAAAACAGCCTGCTTGTGAACAAACTTATTGCTCATCAAATTTTATTGACCATGAAGATGATATGAGAAGAATAATTCCAGGAATATGGAGAGATGAAATGCCAAATATTGAAGGTTTAAGACCTACTAGTGCACATAGAGCAACTCGTGAAGCCTATGAACAACGAGAAACTTTAACTAAATATTTATTATCACCTGAAGGCGAAGTTACATGGCAATATGAACGTGTACATGAAGGATTTAATAGTGATTTACTGTATGAATAATATAATATTCTAAAATATGTACTTAATTTTATCTTCTATTATTTTATCATAGAAAATATAGAAATACAAATTATTTGCAGCAACTTAAATTACCTATAAGCTAATCATATAAGAGTGACAAGCGTATTTAGTTTGATTCTATATTTTTTGTTTTAACAAATTTAAAACTTTTAAAAAGTGAACTGTATATATATTCAGTCTTATACGCAATAACTTAAAATTATCAAAAATTTTTTTTCAACATAAATCAACAAAAATTTCATACTTAATTATTTTGGATAATAAAACATTTGATAGCATACTTATATTATTAAATTTATACTTATACTATATTTTTAATTACTAACTGTTATCACAAAAATTTTTGTCACAATATATATTATTTTCGGAATTAAATTAGTTGTCTTAGAATAGTCTTTGTTTGACAATTGCACAGGCGATAAACTAAAATACTGTTAATTCAGGAGGTTAATTCTGTATCTTTAAACAAGATAAAAATTATTAAAATGAACAAATTTACTCGATATTTATCAATGAAATTGTAAGTATTCTAATAAATTCGCTTTAGAAATTTTCACCTTGTTTCAAGATAGAGAATCGACTCAATTAAACATTACCTTATAAAATGAAAAATATCTTAATGTATAGATAATAGACTTTGAAAAAGAAACAAAACTAATGTATGACTAATCATAAAAAATGTTAAATAATGTTGTTGCCAAGAATACCAGTAAAACTTTCTATACTTTGCACCCACTTTGTCCATTTCTAGTATATATATAAATGTTTTGCGGCTGTAGAATCGGGTGTTTATCCATTAAACGTATTTTTCTAGAAAGATACAAATAAAATGACTAGTGTCAATCGAGCTAAATATACTTTTTAATATAAAAAATAAAATCATAAAAATTTACCTTTATAACTGGTATAAAATTTTCATTATCTGTCCCTTTAACTCAGTTTTTCGTGGTTCTTCTACTTTGCGTAACTGATACGCAATACTTTGACAAAAATGATCATCTTCGTCCATTTTTGGTTTTTGTAAAATATGTTGAGTTACAATAGATGATAAGTTCTTAATTGATGTCTCTATTTCATCTGTCTCTTCTGTTATCTTCCTCTTATTATATTTTCTATTCTCATTTATCTTATTTTCCTTATTTTCTTTATTTTCCTTATTTTCAAGCATAATTTTCATACGTGATTGTATTGATGGTATACATGATTTATCAGTATTAGGAGATAAGGTTGCAGCAGAAAATTGCAACAAAGATTGGGATGAAATCGAAGATGAAGACAAGGATCGTGATGGTAACGATAATGATAATGGTTTCGGCAACTCATTGTCAGATGAAATAGGATTACTAAAAAAAAGAGATAATATTATAATAGCTATTATATGTATTATAAATATGTATATATAAAATATATATACATATATGTGTATATTTATAATGTATACAATTATTTGTATGAATATTTATTTAACTGTAAAGCTCTTAAAATTATTTCTAATTTGCAAACAAAATAAAACTTTTATGTTACTAAAGATTTATATTTACCTGTTTGCAGATGCGACTGTATGTGTTACATATTTCAGAGTATTTTTTGGCTTAGTAGTAAAATATGTGCCTTTTGATGTAATATTCGAATAAGTTCTATAAATATCATATTAATTATATATAAATAAAAACATATATATAATTTAGATTATCTTAAAATTAAGATAATAGTTAAACTTACTTTCTAGTTTTGACAAAACAATCTAAAAATTTCATTTGATCATATAATAAGAATGTAGATCTTGTGCATGCTGCACTGCCACTACGACTTTCTAATTCCCTTTTTTTCTTTTCACGAGAAAATTTTTCTCGAAGTCTTTGCCATTTACTTTGACAATCTGTAACTAATGTACAAACACAAAAATTACATTAAAAGAAAGATTAGAAAGATTAGAAAAATCATATAGAGATGTTTAATTATATAAAAAATTACCTGTTAATTTTAAAAGAGAAGAGATTTCCAACCATGCAAAATCCTTTTTTCGTGTATTCTTGAAATCTGTCTGACTTTTATCATAAAGATAAGGAAAGTTTTTAACAAGATCAATCAACGTAGTGTCAGTGTCTTCTTCACAATATTCATATGTAAGATCTTGATTTTGATCATCCATGACTTTCTATTTAAGAAATATAAAATGCTGTCCTGTGTGTATTTATGTAGGTAATCATTGAGAATAATTACTCCTCTGCTTCAACTTCGATGAAATTATCTCATTAGCGTTTTTACACAAAATGAAAGAATTTGACAGAAAAAAGCGTCATTCTGCCCTGCAAACCGAGATATTTATCGTTTGACGACTCTATTCAGGTTAACAAATCTGTCGCGACTACAAAATACTACTGCAAGTATATAAAGTAATTCTCAAATACTGTTCTATAAGCATCTCATTGGCTGATCGGCTCTGCATACGCATCACATAAAAATTTCAACAATATGAAATTTTCTGCTTATGCATATGCTATATTTCTGTTCTACACGACACAATTAATATTTTCTATATTAAGTATGTGATTGGTTCATTTCCTTACGTAAACGATTATGTGTTTATGCACGTTTATTCATACACCATAAAAATTTCAACATTATGCACGTGCCATATGTACATGCTATGAGCCAATATGGCGTCGCTTATATTAGCCATGTGATTGGTTCACGTTTTTATGCATATGGTTATGCGGCTATGCAAGTTTGTGTGGATATACCTTTAATTGTTGTGCTTAACCATAATCTAATTAGTGATTTACCCATGCTCGCTTTGGATCATTTTTGATAGGTTGCTATCACTCATAGCTATCCCGGGAGAATCCGTGATTACGATCGATTCGAATAGACTTTCGTGATGGCAACTCATGTGTTCCGTTCCGTCACTGTGGTGTGCTTGGTCTCTAGATTATTTAAACTCGTTTTAACATAGAAATAAGTGGTGCAACGCCGCGTCTACTCTTGCTGTCGGTGCTCGTGAAAAACCCACTGCTTATCATTTTTAGAATTCATTATATATGTAAATTTTGAAATATTCTAGGGTTCCTAAGATTCTTCATTTCATAATCTAAGAAAAAATATTATAAAATTTAAAAAAGTTTAACTTATTTTTCCTCAGAAATTGTGTAAAATAAAAATTTTTTTAATATTTCAAAATTTTGCACATATATGAAAACTTTTAAGAGAAAATAAAGACCGTTTTTTACAAGAGAAATTACTACAGGGAAAATACATATAGTTTTGACGATATTCGCTCCTAAAGAAAAAAAACGATATATTTCAAGAAAGTTTTATTCCTAACATAATTTCACAAGAACAAAAGATAATAGTATAAATTAATCTCGAGCTCTCTATATTAAAAATAATATTACAAAAAACTAGGTAACTAAGAGCTAATACACAGTTGTTATTCATATACGTTAACCTAATACATTTCCACCTAATGTATGTAGAATGGATGAATAAAGAAGATTTGTTAACGTACATGAACAACAACTGTGTATTAGCTCTTAGTTGCTTAGTTCTTTTGTAATATTATATTTAGAATAGAGAAAATAGTTCTGTGAACTACTTTCACACAATGCTTCAAAATTTTCTAAATTTTCAATGAAAAATGTCTTAATTAAAAAACTATTCACAATAGTATAAAACTCTTAAAATTTTTACCAGAGATATATCCCTTCAGTCAAAGTTTTGTTTAAAAATGTTTTTCTATGTCTTTTATATTTTTCGAGATATTATTCTATATTATGCATGTATATAGAAATTACATAGTTTTATATACAGATCTGATTGTACAATTTAAAAACTATTATTTTTATAGGATTTTGTTGATTGGATTCACAATGACAAAATTGATATCTTTACAACAAATTGTTGGGATATTAAAAAATGTGATCGGCTCTCTAGCCTGGTAGAATTAAGTATTTTATTTGCAGTAGATAGCTTAATAGAATACTTAATCTATAAAATAGAGGAAAAATTATATTTTATGCCACCAGAATATGTAATTAACTTGTGGTTGTTATCACAAGAATTGAGTTTAAATATTCTCCGAGATGTTTCGTTAGCATTTTGCTTAGATCGTTTCGATGATCTACCACTTAATTCAATTTATGAGCTGTCAAAGGAGAATTTTCTTAAATTAATTGGGAATATCAATATAACATCTACGAAATCTTATTTGCTTGAAGTCGCAAATAAATGGATGGACCACCATAATGTAAGTACAAGCACATTATTTACAAAAGTAAAACTTTTGTAAATATTAAAATGGTATAATATCCTAAATACGAAATACCACTTAAGCTTCTCCTTGAGCAGCAGACCGTTTCGGATAAAATGTGTTTTTGGGGGCAGAGAAAAAGGTAGATTTCAAAAAATTTAGTGTATAGGAATATTTGGGGTTCTTAAAAAAGAATTTGTGATCAAAATTACAGAATTTAAAATGACTGATGCCATATGCCGGACTAAAAACTCTGCTATCGAAGTTTTTATGTAGAATTTAAAGAATGACAAAATAACTTTTCAAGAACGTATTTTTTTGTTTTTAATATGGATATTTATGTGAAAAAGAAATAATGTCCTATGCATCATAAATCTTCCTAAATTTTTATTTTTGTATAAATATTTATCTACATTTTCCTACAATACTAATTTTGTTTCATATTAAGGATTATACTAGTACTTATATTTTTACTTAGATATACATAATAAGTGTACAATGGCTTTAATATGCACCCAGGGTGCACTAGTGCAACCAAGGGAAAACGCTATTATATTAATCATCGAATTGTATTGTAGAATTGTATGTTAACAAGTTAAACACATAAATTTGTTTAATTATATTATTTTGTTTTTAAAAATATATATTATATTCATGATGCAATTCGACATGGAGTATTTTTCATTTACTGACACAAATCGACACAAATATCGTTCTATATTGATTACTCACTGAACACCAACAAAGATAAAAAAATAAACGATGTAATATAAGGGCTGTGAGCTAAGATGAATGTTAATTGCTAATTATTTATCTTCCATACATATAAACATAACCATGAATGTTTCGACTCTTTCTGAGTCATTCTTAATGTAGACATTAAAATTAATTAATGTAGAAATTAAAATTAATTACAATAAAACATTTTTAAACTAAATTAAACAATAAAAAGAGAAAATATTTTTACAATTATTCTTTAGCGTGTCTTATAATAAAATCCCAGTCAATATGACACTGCTAACAATTTCTCAACAGAGTACAATAATTCTTGTTGAAACAAAATGATTTGTATACACGTATCATTAGATATAGTCATATTCTGTGAATCAGATGATCGGAAAATGTGAAAACCGTTTTGAGACTATTAAGAATAACTGTCGAGAATATAACTGTATATACATAGCCTTGTTACGTCCAAGCTCCAATAATGTATGTAGTTAGGTTTGGAAAAGAAAGGGATAAGAAGGGAGAAGCATGGAAGGACGTTAGAGCAGACGCTTTGTCTCGCATGCATCCACGGGAAAGGGATGGAGCGAGTCGAACGCACCTTTTATAGCTCTGGAATATGGGTCAACGTCCTAAAGGGACGCTATAACTCCTGTTTCCAACGAGCAGTGCGAACGTCGGTCCGAATTTCGAGTCAAGGAACTGAATTCTTATAACTCAGGACCGGACCATGTGCGATCTCTGAAGAGCGGTGGGTGAATGTGAGGTCTTATAATTTTAAAATGAATGAAAGTTAATGTATGTCATTTAAAAAATATTCTAATTTTTATTGCTAACTATAAATTTTACAATAAGCATTTTGAATTATTAATTTAAGTTTACTTAAGGTCTTTGTAACAACGGGTATATGTAATGATAAAATATTAACAACTATTCGTTGCGCTTACAAAACTCGATATACAGGATGTATAAAAAGTCCCAGACCCCTTAAATATCTTGAAAAGTAATGATTTTTGAGAAAAATGTTTTATACAAAAGATGTAGGGTTGAAAATGATCTATTGACTGACCTTATCAATTTGACCTAGGATGGTGCCACCAAGGTCAAGTCAAGTTTAAATCGATTTTTTTAAACGAAACATCCTATTTTTGATCCTAGAATCTAATAGCTGTGAGGGGAGTTTTCCACTATAATAAAGTCTCTTTTTGATCAGTACTTTCCAAGTTATGAAAGTTGAAATTTACGGAACCGCCGACATTAGCATTATCTAAGGTATTACGTAGAGATTGCCCGACTAGATTTATGAGTCATGTATGTGCCCGCGAATGTCTGTACCTCTATCTCCTCCTCCTTCCTACCCTTTCCTTCTCCTATCTCACCTTTCCCTCCTACTCTTTTCCATTCCCCCTTCCTCCTTCCCATCCTTTCAACAAAGCTGGAGACTACATAAGCTAGAGATCTCTCCTGTCACTGTCATTCGTTTGAGCATTTGTCATTCCTTTAACCCAACTCGCCTTACCCACCAGTTTTTAATTACTTTCTCGGTTAGACCCCATCGGGATCTGGAACTTCGTCAAGTTTTATTTTTATATCTCTGAATAGAAAACATATTTTTAACTTATCACATTGAAAATTGATATCTCTAGAATAAGACAAAAACAAATAAACAAAGAGGAAACAAACATATTTTATTCTTAAATTACATCATAAAAAGTTAAAGTCTGAATTGTAATGTGAAAAATTGTATTAGTTATGTCATATCTCAGTATGGCGAGCTAGGGTTAAAAGAATATTACATATTATAGTAAATACTTAAATTGGCGTCCCTCCGCAGTCCGATAATGTGCTAGACGATTATAAAAACTTAAGATTGCATTTCTACAGAATTCGCGAGGCATTATTCTAATTATATTTATTATTCGTTGACGTAAATCATTAAGATTTCGAGGTTTAGTATTATAAATTTTTCCCTTTAAATATCCCCACAAAAAATAGTCGAGTGGATTTAGAACAGGCGATTGTGCTGGCCATTCAATGTAACCCCTTCTTCCTATCCACCTATTCGGAAAAACTTCATTCAGATACTGGCGTACTCGTAAACTGTAGTGTGGTGGCGTCCCATCTTGCTGGAACCAAATGTCATTGAAGTTTTGACGAGCGATGTTTCGGATTGCCGGAACTATTTCATCTTGAAGCATGGCTAAGTAATTGTCAGCGTTCAAATTACCTTTAATAAAGAAAGGCCCAATAATGGCTTCATTTAAAATTCCAGCCCATACGTTGACTTTTTACTGATTCTGAGTATGTGCCTCGTACATCCAATGAGGATTTTCATCACTCCAATATCTGCAATTATGTCGATTTACATTCTCGATTAGCTCAAAAGTAGCTTTATCTGAAAAAATAATGTTGTGTACAAATAAAAGATTTCTATCGATATTTAACATTTTACTTTTATAAAATTCAATGCGACGAGCAAAATCATCTTCACATAGTTCGTGCGCCAGATGGATCTTATATGGATAAAATTTCTCCTTTTTTAGAATTTTATGAACTGACATAGGATTGATGTCGTGTTGTTGTGCAACTTTGCGAACTGAATTACGCGGATCTTCGATAAAAGACTGTAGAACATTCAATATTTTATCAGGATTTGTAGCTATTGCTGGTTTACCTTGTCTATTACGGTCTTTTACGAAACCTGTTTCTTCAAAACGTTGTACAGTACGAATAACAGTCAATTTAGATAAACCAATGTCCTCATTCCTAAAAGTTTGAATGAAAAGTTCTGTCACATGTGCGTAAGATCTCCTACGATCATCCTCGCATCATTAAAAGGGATATACACTCCTGTTCAGTAAGCATTATAAAGTATTTTAAATAAATACTTCATAAACAAAGATAACTATGTGGCGATAAGCAATCTCAGAATGGAGTATCACGAAAAAGTATACCTTCTCAATCGCAGGTCACAGAAAGAGTGAACTAGACGGGAGAGATCTCTAGCTTATGTAGTCTCCACCTTTGTTGAAAGGGTGGGAAGAGAGAGGGAATGGAAAGGAGTAGGAGGGAAAGGCAAGGAAGGAGAAGGAAAGGGTAGGAAAGAGAAGGAGATAGAAGTACAGACATTCGCGGGCACATACATACATGACTCAATAAATCCAGTTGGGCAATCTCTACATAATACCTTAGATAATGCTAATGTCGGCGGTTCCGTAAATTTCAACTCTCATAACTTGAAAGTACTGAAAAAGGGCTTTATTATAGTGTTTTGGAAAGCTCCCGACCTCAGCTATTAGATTCTAGAATCAAAAATAGGGTGTTTAAAAAAATCGATTTGACCTTGACTTGACCTTGGTGGCACCATCCAAAGTCAAATTGATAAGGTCAGTCAATGGATCATTTTGAACCCTACATCTTTTGTATAAAACATTTTTCTCAAAAATGATTACTTTTCAAGATATTTAAGGGGTCTGGGACTTTTTATACACCCTGTATATATACATGTATATGTATTATAACTATACGTGTGTTTGTGCGTGTGTGTGTGTGCGCGCGCGGGTGTTCGGAAATTAATTTGGAAGAAGGGAGGAAGAAATTTAGGAAAAAGGCTACTGTGACAAGGAAAGGATGGGGGGAGTGGGAAAGGAAAACAGGTATAAGAGCTTCAGGTGATTGACCATTTATAGCACTTCGGACGCGATTGCGATCTGCATTTATCAAATTTATGGTAAATTTGTTCGGGGGAAAGGGTTTCGCAGATATTTGAAATTGGGAAAAAAGGGAAGCTAAGGATTAGGGATTGAAGTAGCAGCGAGGACTCCGTGATGGAAGTAGTAGCGAGGACGGTGAGGGGAAAGTTCATCTAAGAATTCCACGCTTGATGTTGAATCAGCGGGAGAAACGAGACGAGGAGACGGATGGATGGACCGAATGAGAGAATCGGGAGTTTGAGGCGGTTTTTTGTTGGTTAAAGCGTCTGAGAAGGCAGGTGACGGGGTTCGAGGGGGAGGTGAAAGAGTTCGAGGGGGAGGGGTTGCGCCGAGATGAACAATTACAGGAGAGGGGGACCGAGGAAGAGGATCTTCGACTGGATGATGAGTGTTATTCGGATTATCTAATATGCTAATATTATTAACATTATTATTATTGCTGTTATTATTAAGTCCACCGCGATATTCTAGATAGGCCTCATCCAGGAGCCGACGGGCCTCCCTTAGCCGTTGAACTCGTAGACGTTTAGCCGCGCGGGAAAGGGCGTGCGCGTGGTCAGTCACTCACTACGATTGTTAAATAAAATGTTTTATTATCAGGCTCTGCATAAAAAGGAGGAAGGGAGATAATAAGAGAGTGGAGTTCGCGGATTAGGCGGACTTCTAAATAAGGGATATAGGATTCATCGAAGAAATTGATGAATGTGGAAGGATAAGGACGACAGGTGAGTTATGGAAGCAAAAAGAATTGAGAGTGCAGAGACTGAGAGGGGAATTGGTTAATATTTCGCTAGAGAGTGATCTATAGGTTCCCGAGGTAATTAATTAAAAGGAGTAACTTACTACTTCTCAGCAGCTTCCGGACTTGAGAGCGATTGCTGAAGGTCTGACCTCGGTGATTTCTGACTTTGCGTGGCCGGATGTCCTGCGGACGATTGGACCCAAGCGATTTAGAGACACTAGAGTAACTTTATCGTGTCGCGGATCACAATTAGAATCGATTGGATCGCGGACTGGCGAAGGTTCGTGGTTGAAATTTGACTGATAGCGGACCGGCAGAGTTTCGGCTAGCTAGGTAGTTTTGAACTGCACTGCTGTTCGCTAAGAGTCTCCTTTATATATTCGCCAATTAGTGCTGCCGTATGCAGGCCTAGCGTATGATACTAGTCTAATGTAGGATTAGGAGTAAGGATATCGGTTGTGAAATGAGATATTGGAATACGTGTCTAAAACGACTTTTCGTCATCGACCATTTGCCGGATGTTCGATAACTTAGAGCCACACGTGTCATTTATTAAGGACAACCGCTGTTTCAGTTATAATCCTTATAATTTATTTACTTCTTCTGTTCCTTGGGACAAAGTTCTTTTATTCGTTACTTGGTTCAAATATTTAATCCAACGACTGTGTCCGAGTAGATTACTAGCTTAAAAAGGCAAACGTTATTTGGCTCGTAGCTATCGAAACTTCTTATGGTAGATACAGATAGTCTACCGGTATTACTTGTTAATAACCCTTATGGTGATGACGAGAGAAAATTCTAAGCGAAGAAAAGAACTGTGGAGTCTGGACGTAACAGCACATAAGAATAAAAATTATAAAACTGCACAGTATTGTAAGTAATATAATAAAAATTAATTACCTGAGATTAATAATATAATATAATTACAATTAACATAATGATAAAAAGGATGTTTGTGACGACTTGTATGACCAAATGGAGAAAGCACTCAACGTATCCCACTAGGCACTAGACAATCATAAACGGAATCTAAGATGTTTGCCAAATGTCCATGATACCACATGATATATACAGGACGTAGTCATAATAGTGCATTCTTTCGGGTTAATATTTGACGTATCCGCAGAACCGCTATAAATTAGGAACCCATTTTTCATAAGTTTATGCTAAGGAGTTAGCAGTATAGTAGTACATATAGAGTCTGTGGAATAATAACATAAAACATGGTATATCACAAATTTTATAATTTAAAAATAGAATTAAGGATACAATTTTGCATATTAATTACCAGGTTTGTTTATATTACCGCCGAAGAATGAACGATAAATTCGAATAAAGGGCTAAATTCTGATTGGCTGCAATAAATATGTGCAAAAACACACTATGTCTATTTAAATTATATTATATTCTATTATGCATTAATATATTATAATTCATTACAATAAAAGTTATTCTTAACCACTTGGAATTTTATATAATAAAATCACTTCTTTTTTCAGGATTTTACAATTCCTTTAAATATCTTAAAGAATAAGGAAACAAAAATACTACACAGTATTATATCTTGTGAAAGTACAGATTCTGATGACACTGAAAAATTTATTCATTGTTGGGATGGTAATGATTTTTTCGAACTTACCTCATTTAAATATCCCAAAGATATTGCTAATTATATTACTGGTAAACATATATTACGATGCAGAATGCAGTTTATTGGAAAAAGTATGTAGCCTTTTTTTGACTTTATTTTATTTTATCTAGAACAATATTATCTTATTCATTCAATATTTTATGTAATTTATTTAGGGTACAATTTTTATCTTTGTGGTGGAGAATGGTATAACTCTAATTTTGACACAAATATATTTAACAAAAATGTGTGGCGTTACTCCTTGATATCTAAAAAATGGTTCCTTGAGACTATGTAAGTATTCTATGTAAGAATCCTAATGCATTCTTAAATAAATGATAAGAGTAATAAAATAAATAGTATGTTAGTTGTTAAAATAATTTCTACAAATGTTTTAGTATGCCAATTGAAAGAAAATTTATAACTGCTGCGTTTGTGAAAAACAAATTAATTCTTGTGGGCATTGGATTTGAAATCAGTGTTGATATCTACGATATTTATACAGGTGATTTTATTATACAGTTATTATACAATACGCATTTCATTAATACAATATGAAAAGTATACAGGTAGAGATTTACTAGACATTATGTCATAATTCTCTAAGAAGATTATTATGTATATTTTTTTAGATTAATCATAGAATTGCTTTCATAATTATTTATTAATTTAGTCTTAAAATTGTCTGTCATTAAATAAATTAGTATTTCTTTGTTAATTTCTGCTTTTATATTTAAATATTACATAAATGTGTATAGTTGGGTGCGAAAGTATCTTTGAATTCTATCTTGCTCTTTATCATATTAAAGTGAGCCTTCTTATGTAAATGTGATGGAGAGTGGGCGACTGTGCAGGGACACTTGTATGAGTCGAGGATGTCTACCTTTTTTTTAAATGTATATTAAAAGTAAACAGACTCTCAACTTGCATAGCTGTCACTCTAGTACAATTAGTCGCCCTTCAAAGCTGGCTCCAGTATGCATATAGAATTCACTGGATTTTATTAATGTTCCTAAATATTTTTCTTTTAATTGCGCAGGCTTGTGGACATCAGGTGCAGGAATAGCTTCCGAATATTCTATCATATTTTCTAATTATTCCGTTTTGGATGAAAAATTAATCATATGTGGAAGAAACTGGGCGACTTATTACCCTGATTATGATACTGAAACACTACAATGGAAGCTTAAAGATGATTTTGAATTCTATGGTAAGTAAAATGTTAGCAGAATGTTGGCAGACTGGCAGAATTGATTGAGAGCATGTCAGCAGATCGAAAAAATTTGTTCACATAAACCATTAGATTGACGGCAAAAACCAAGGAAGATCTGTGCAATCAGATAGCAGATTGATAGCAGAAATCAAGTCAAACAGAATGCAATTTTATGGTTGTTTAAATTGAAATTATTAGTAGAGAAAGGAAATTATGGAATATATTATTTTGTATTATTGAAATAACAGCGAAAAAAAATCTCTTACCGCATTGAGCCATTACATATTCCACCGCTCGCTTGCATTTGGAGGTAAGCCAATAAGCGGATACATGCTTATTCGGCAATCTTTAAAAATTAATATTTCGTTGACTGTGTTATGAAAATTGCAAAATGTTACAAAATTTTTCGATTCACAAAGGACCAAGTGTCCCTCTCCGATTTTGATGAGTTTTTAATATATGTATATGTTTTATGAAAATAAGGAACACGTCAAATTTATATATTTACCATACGAATAAAACTTTATAATATCGATGTAAAACCCATTTCATAGTCGAAAAGTAAGAAATATGTGTTTATTTATCTAAGAATTGGAAAGAATACGGGCTTTAAGAGTCAACCGCAAAAGACGTCGCGCAAATAATACACTTATGAAGCTTAAAACTTCTTTATTCAACAAACGTGCTTACATGTTTCGACTCATTTTTTAGCCTTCCTCAGAGCAAACACAAACTAACATATATAAAGTAAAAGTTATCCTGTCATGGTGAGCTCCCCTACAT